GGATTTTGGGGGATMKGTGGATTTTTTTAGGGTGAGGGGCTGAGGGGGCTCTGAGRGCCTCAGAGGCCTCTGAGGTGAGGGGATTTTGGGSGTCTTTGGGGTTTCTTTGGCTCTTTTGGGGGTCTTTGAGGGTGTAGGACTGTGATGCTGAGGAGAGCTTTTTTCGGGSTTTTTGGGGTATTTTAGGGGCCGARGTGGCTCRGAGGGGTGAGGGTTTTTTGAGGGGCCTTTGGAGGATTTTGGGGGTGTAAGACTGTGAGACCGAGAGGGGTTTTTGGGGGTCTTGGGAGATGTAGAACTGTGAGGCTGAGGGGGATATTTTGGGAGTCTTTGGGGTTTTTTGAGGGTGTAGAACTGTGGGGCTGAGGGGATTTTAGGGGGTCTTGGGAGATGTAGAACTGTGGGGCTGAGGAGGATTTTTTGGAGGCTTTATGGGATTTATTTCGGGGTCGGTCTGGAGCTCCTTTTTGGGGGGATCTGGAGCTTCCTGAGGAAATTTCGGAGGATTTGGAGCTTCCTGGGGGTAATTTTGGGGTGTTTGGGGTGCCATGGTGGGGTCTGGATTTCACTTTTCCCTGGAAAAATCTCCCTTTTCCCTGTGGGAACCCTGAAAATACCCGGGCAGATTTGAGGAAGGCTCGAATTTCCCCCCCAAAAAAAAACCCCAAAATTAATTTGGGAACGGCGCGGGGAGGGGAGAAGAGTTTTGGTGCCAGGGAAATCTGATTCCCGTTCCCGTCCGGTGACTCAGGAGCGGATCCGAGGGGGTGGGAGCAGCTCCCGGCTCCCAAATCGGGATCCCAAAAATCCCCAGAAATCCCAAAAATCCCTTCCCGGAGCCCCGGGAATTCAAACACGGGATTTGTTTGGATAAGCGGGAATGGCAGCCACRGAAAGGGCTGGAAACGCTGCCGGCCCTGCTCGGGAAATCGGGAATTCGCGGTTTTTTAGGGATTAAAACTGCCAATTTGTGGCACWCAAAACCTGYTTTTTTCCCCYTTTYCCMWTTTTTTYCCGAACCTGGAGGAATTCCTGGGAGAATCCTTTTTATTCCGCTTTTCTTGCAGCTTCCAAATCGGCTTTTCCACCCGAAATTTGTGTTGGGATTCTTTCAGATCCATTAAAATTTCCTTTTGGGAGTTTTGGAGAAAAAGCGTTCCCTGCTCCCTACTTTTCCTTGGAAGGATTTGGGGTCTGATCCTTGATTTTCTGGCTGTTTATCCATGGGGTTTTTTGGGAATTTGGAGCCAGAAACCCGAGGAGAGCAGTGTGGGGGATTGAATGAAGTAGATTTTTGTATTTTGTGGGATTTTTCCTGTTTTTCTGGGATTTTTTCCTGTTTTTCTGCGATTTTTTTCCTGTTTTTCCAGCTCTTCCTTTGGGATTTGGAGCTTTTCCAGAGGAAGAGCTGGGTGGGATTTGAGGGAAAATCTCCCAACTCCAGGAATAAAATCCTTTTTCCTTCTTTGCCAGAATAATTCCTGCTGTTTCCTTGGATTTTCTGGGAATAACGAGGATGATCCTGGAGTAGGGGCTGGGAAAATTGAAATCTGGGTTTATTTTGGGATAAAGAAAGGGTTTATTTCAGATTTGAGGTTTTTCTTTGCTCCTGGATAATGCTGGAATCACCCCAAACCCTTCCCTCCAGCCCAAAAATTCAGGATTTGAGTCAGAAATGAGCTGGGAATGCCGGAGCTGAGGGAATTCCTCCCAAAATCCCTTAAAAAAAATCGGATCTGTGAACAGAATCCCAAATTCCGAGCTTTAAAAAGAACTGGGAACACTCAGGGATGTTTTCCCAAATTCCTGGAAATCAGGACAATCCCTGATCCCGATTTATCAAACAACATCTGAGAGGCTTAAAATAGTTCTGTCAAGTGACTCCAGGCCCGGATTTGGGATAAAATTCCTTTTTTTTTTTTCTGGGAATTGTTGTGGGTATTCCCAATTAGGAGCGATTTTCCGACAAAAATTCCTTTCCCCAAAAAGATCCCAAAATTCCCTTTTTTTTGTTGTTGTTTTTTCTTTTGCACCCAGAGTTGAAAAATTCAGGTGGAAAAGACAAAAAAGGGAATAAAATCCAAGGAAAATTCTCTGGAAATGAGGGAAAACTGAGGGATTTTGGGGGTTCCCCAAATCCCATTTCCTGAATTTTCCCATGAATTCCCTTTTCCCTTGGGCTTTGGAATTCCCTTGGGAATTCCCTTGGGAATTCCACTCAGGGTTGGAATTCTCCCTCTGCCATCCCTAAAAATCCCTTTTTTTTGGGATTAATCGTGGTGTTTTCCACCCTGGGAGGAATTCCTGGGATTTGAGTTTATTTTCCTGGGATTTGGGTTTATTTTCCTGGGATTTGGGCTCTGTCCCAAGGCACTGAACTCAATTTTGTCATTAAACTGAATTTTGCCCTTTTTTCCCGCAGTAATTAAACATTTCCCAAATCCCTGCGGATTCCCGGCGCTCCAGGGAACCAACCTGACCCAAATCCTTCTTTTTTTTTGGAAAAAATTGTTGATATTCCCACAAATTGGAGGGGTTGATCCCAGTTTTCCTCCTCCAGGGTGGGATTTTCCATCCCAGCTGGAAAAGGSGCTGGGGACCCCTCCTTTCCCAGGAATTGAGGCCAGAAAAGGGATTTTTGGAGCCTTTTTTGGGGATTTCTATTCCCACAGCACCATAAAAGTGGAATTTTAAATCCTTTTCCGTGGAAAAACGGGTGGATTTGTGTTCTGGAGCTGTTGAGAACAGAGAATTTTCAATCCTGGATGTGTTTTGGGTGAAAAATCTGGGAATTTTGGGTCAGGACAGGATTAATTCCCAAATATTTCCCATTACACTTCCAGGAGATGCCCCTGGAGCCTCTCCCAGTTTTCCCAACACTTCCAGGGCCTGGAATTGCCCCAAAAATCCCAGGAAACGCTGTTGGATGCTCCAGGATTTGTGGGATATTTGTGGATTTTTGGGATAATCCCGTTTTTAATGTGTTCAGGCAGCAGAAATTTGGGATTTTTGKGATATTTGGGATGCTCCAGGGAGGGAGCTGGAATTCAATCCGTGGAATTTTGGGATGGAAAATCCAACGGGATGGGGCTGGAGCTGCCCCTGGATCCCTCAAATCCCGGTTTTCAGGGAATTCCTGCGGCTTGGAATTCCCAGAACCCTCCAGGGCTGGGAAAGGGCTGAGCTTTTCCAAACTCCTGGGGAATTTTTTTGGGATTTTGATCCTCTCTGAGCGTGGATTTTCCTTTCTCTTGGCAGGATCCAACACCTTCAAAAAATCCCTGACTCCCGAGGTGAGTTCCAGGCTGGGAAAAATCCCAAATTCCAGCTTTTCCTGCTCTTTTTTTTTCTGTTTTCCTGCTCCTTTTCCA